GATTTGTCCAGATTGTTCTTTTTTATCAGTGGCTTGATAACTGCTGTTTTCAAAGCCTTGGGGAAAACACCTGAAGAGAGCGATGAGTTCACTCTTTGGATCAGATCATTAGCAACGACAGGCAAAACTTTCTTAAAGAAATGTGTGGGTAGGACATCCAGACAGCAGGAACTGGAGCTTAATTGACTTACAATTTCTTCTAGGGTTTTAAAATGAAGTAGTTGAAATTGGGTCATTTTTCCTGCATTTGTTTTGCTTGGGCCCAGCAGTGGTACTGGCTTTGGAGTGGATGTGCAGATTAATCCTCTGATCTTTTGAAATTTTTATGAAAAGAAACTGCAGAACTTGTTGCAGGTGGCATTAGATTGAAATTCAGATGGTAACATCATAGGAGGGTTTGTGAGCCTGTCAACAGTAGCAAATAGAGCTTGAGCGTTGTTAACGGTTTTGTTTATGACATCTGCAAAGAAAGTCTTTTTTAGTGTTATGTGATACTTACGTAGTCTTTCTTTGTAGATGTCATAATAAACGTGAAGTTTATTGATAACCAGGTCCAGTGTGTGTCCATGAGTGTGTGTTGCATGTTTGACATGTTGTGTTAAACCAAAACTCTCTAATATATTAAACAGCTTTTTTGCCCCTCGGTCTTGGAGGTTGTCAACATGAATGTTGAAATCACCGACAATTATTAAACAATCATAATCAATGCATATGAGAGACAGAAGTTCATTCAAGTCCGTAAAGAAATTTTCCATATATGTTGGACTTTTGTATAAAGTTATTGTCAAAGTTCGTTTGTGGCCTATTACTTCAATTCCAAGATACTCAAAAGATGTGGAATTATCCAATGAGATTTTACTACAGTTCATGATATTCTTAAATATTGAAGAAAAATGAAAGAAAACTTGGTGAAAATATTTTTTACAAATTGTTTTGCAACTTTCCTCATATTCAAATGTTTACATGTATTTGGTCAGTATCTCAGTATCTTTGATTTGATTTGATTTACCATGGGATAAATGCATAACATATCCCCTAAATTGTTTCTTGAGAGACAGATCATATTTGCTTTATCTCTAAATAAACTGGACTGGTTCCAAACCATTAGCAGTATTAATAGTTTAATCTTTTGTGACAAACTCCATAAACGTGCCGAGCCCTTTGTATTCAAACATGTTCAGCCTGTAGCTGTGTACGTGGCACAGATAAAACAGAGAAAAGACAAAGAGTCCTTTTGTCCATAACAGAATGTTCCTTTTGAATTTCTTGTAAAATTTCTTGTCTATAAAATTCATAGTTTCTTTTACGAAGCACATTTTAGTTACATCAATCGTTTTGTTTTTCACAATGTGGCATCAGGGCTTTTTTTCTATTATTGTATTGATGTTTGTCCTTAACTTGAACTTTGTTGGCACATTAGCTCCACTTTATACCAAACTAACTTTTTCCACATAAAACAGATCTTTTATTTTCTTCGATTAGCAGATGAATATATAATCACGTCTCTAATTATTTTAAATGTTGTGGCACAGTTTGAGCCTTTTGCTAATAAAATGTGTCACTTTGACACTTAGTGCTGTTGTTCAGCCTCTTGTGTTCATAAATGTATCAAATCACTCAAGAAAAACTGTAAAAGAAAAGAGTCATGGGAGATGAAAGAGGTCTGTGTCTTTAATAAAAAGAATCACATATGTTAAAATTTTACCATTCTTTTCTTTTAAATGTGTTTTAAAAATCAGAATATTTTTCATTTAATTGGGTGAATTTCTGTGAGTTTTAATTTTTTGTTCTACTTTGCATTTACAACAAATGCAAATGCTCTTCACCAACCAGCACTGTAAAATTGTTCTTTTCAAAATAAAAGAAGCCAACCATTTTGTGTTTCTAAAGTGGATCATTTTCACAGCTCATCAATAAACAAAATGATTTTACTTTCTGGAGAAAAGGCAGATGTGAATTCTTGCTGATTGGAAACCAAACAGTTTTTTCTTTTATAAAAAAATCAACCAATTATTTTTAGTTTATTTTCTAGTACAAATCTCTGAATTCACTTAAGATAAGGTAAAAATAACTTACAAGTAACTGCAGCAAAATAGAGAAGTTGATTGTTTTGAGTCAATTCCTTAATATTGATGAAAAATGTCTTGTTTTATTGGCTGATTATTTACGTTATAATAGGGGGAAATGTTTGGTTATTAGTGAAATAAACTTTTTTCAAGTTTCTTTACAATGATGAGATGTTAAAGTTCCTCTGTATGCAGATGACATTGCAGATCAGTGTCTGTCTTGTGATTGGACAGATCGGTGTCTGTCCTGTGATTGGACAGATCAGTGACTGTCCTGTGATTGGACAGATCGGTGTCTGTCCTGTGATTGGACAGATCAGTGTCTGTCCTTTAATTGGACAGATCAGTGTCTGTCCTTTAATTGGACAGATCAGTGTCTGTCCTGTGATTGGTGGCTTTCTTTCCAGCAGGAAGTTGTGAACAGAGTTTAAAAGCTGCTGCAGGACTGCAGACATTCACAAGAAGCTGGATCAGCAATGGCTCTGCTGAAGATTCTGCTGCTGCTGCTGGGGCTGGGTGAGTCGGAAACTATGGAAACACTGGAGACACTGGAGACACTGGGGACACTGGAGACATGTCCACTGGTTCCAGGGAGGCTGCTGCTCTCTGTGACTCTCTGATTCTGTTTCAGACTGAAACTTCTTTGCATATAAACTGTGATGCTTTTCAATCTTTAGCTGTTTATCCTCTTTCTGTTCCTGCAGCCATGTTTGCACCTGATTTCTGAGTAAAGTCCTCCTTTTTCTTCTTCAGGTGTTTCAGTGAACTCAGATGTTTCTCGGCAGAAGAGAATCATTGGAGGTCAAAACTGTGATGACAGGGAGCGTCTTTATTATGTTCAGCTGGAGTTCAAGAGAGGTAATAGAAAGTTTGGCTGTGGAGGATCTCTGATCCATTCTCAGTGGATCCTGACTGCAGCTCACTGCTGGAAGTTTTCGCCAGGATGGTAGGAAAGAGACATGAAGACAGTTCACCTGCAGATGATCAGGTTTTCTGTCTGTTCATTATAATCTAATCTTTTCTGCAGGACTAACGTAGTAAAATTAAGAGTTCATCCATCGGCTGCTGGGGAGCAGAGTCAGGTAATCCGACAAGCTCCTGAGATGTATTCTCACGGCGACCAACACCATGGCATTATGTTGCTGAAGCTTGAGACACCAGTAACAGATTTCCCAGTTGCTCAGCTACCAGACTGCAACAATCGTCTTAAAGTGTAAGTCTTTCTCTGATTATAACATGACTTCAGGTTTTCTGTCTCCACTCCTCCAGTCCTGCTGCCTCTGCTTCAGCACACCTGAGTCAGGTAATCAGGCCACCAGCAGAACCAGAACCTGTTTAGCTCAGGTGTGTTGGACCAGAGACGCATGTAAAGGACGCAGGACACCATCACTGAGGACTGGAGGTGGACACTCCTGTGTCAGTAGATGAAGTCCTTCATGGATTCATTTTATGTTCTTTCATTGTTCTTTATAATTAATTTTCTACAATGTTATCTTGTATTTTTACATTTTATTCTTCTTGTGTTTTAGAGGTGATACTGTTCAGCTGGCAGGAGAGGGACCAATGAGAACCGCACACATAAATCAGCAAAGTGAGAGAAGTATTGAAGTTATTGCAATAAAATCGTTCTGTTTCTACAGAGAAGGTCAAGTGAAGAACATGTTTATGATTCTCATGTTTCTCTACAGCGATCGGTTCTGCTACTCCATCACATCTTCAGTGTGTCAACATGAAAGTTGTTAAGTTTTCCGGTTATATCCCAATATTTGGCCATGTATTCTATGTTGACGCACCCATAAAGTATGTATGTTATGTAAGTTTGTTTCTTCAATATCTCCCTGCAGTGATTAGAAGTTTTTTCTGTTTTGCAACATAAAGAAATATATTGCTGTGATTTTTTCCACAGGCTGACTATGGTGGAGCAGCGATGTACAACAACATGATTTATGGTGTGATTACTCTTGGTCACCCACACTCCGCATGTCAGAGACCAGCTGCAGTCATTGATGTGTGTGAATACATGGAGTGGATAAAACAAAAAACTGGAATTCAATAAAACACAAACCATGAAATAAAATTCTCAACAAATTTCTTCTAACATGTAATTTTAAAATTGTATCTTCATCAGTTTGATCCACGTTTGTAGAATTAGAATAAATTAATTGTTTTTTGTCTCACCTGATCTTCACCTCCCTAATGGAGTTTTCTTTTCACCTCAGAAATGAAAAATAAATTAATAAATGCATGAAAAAGAAAAATTTTCATGATTGTCTTTACATTCATGGTTCAGTTTGTTCAGTTGATATTTTCCCTGAAATGAGTCTAAAAACATGAGTTTTAAATCACATGAAGAGAAACATGTGAAGTAATTTATTTATCCAGTTTTTGTCTTTATTTTACATCAGAAATGAACATGCAGCATCTAAACTCTGCAGCTCTGGAGTTTCTATTCCTGATTTAGTTCTAGAGAACTTTAAACTCCACGACCTAAGAGTTGTGCAACTATTAAATAATAAAAACCTAACAACTTAATAATAAAACATCACGTTTAATGACACAAAGGAAACCCAAAGTTAAATTAAAAACAATTTAAAAGTCAAAATCTTCAATGAAAGAAGTTTTACAAAAATCTTTTAAACGATGCAAAACAAATTAATGATATCTTCTGTTTGACACAAATGTACCATAAAAATGATAGGAAATATTTTGCAGTTAAATTTTAATCTTAGCACTTTTTATAAGGTCATAAAGTTATAAAAAGAGTTTTCTTAGTGCCTCTTCTTCTATGATGTTTAGACACCAGGTCTCTTAACATCTTCCCCTATGGGGCCCAAAACGAAATGTGGTTTTGGGGCCCTCTAGTCCTGCTAACAATGTGGAGTGGCTGCAATCAGCAGTCTGATCATTAGATTATTCACACACCTGCTATAAACTTATTTCATCTCTGTCAGTGTTGTTTACATTATATACTTGTATAATAGGATACATTTATTGGCCAACTGATTGACCTTATCTGAACTTATCAACCAGTTGATTTCTGAGCACCGATTTCCATAATTTTAGGGGATTGTGATCTGCTGATACTTACATGTGAAACCCGTCTAATCTTATCTTCGTCAGCAAATGTTTAAAAATCAGTCTCTGTCCTTTTCTGCTCTACAATGAGAGGTTTGACCGACAGACCGGTCCACCAGGTCAGGTCTCCACATTTACAGTTAACAATATTCATCCCACTGTTGACAACTCAGTGACTTTCTTGGTATATTTAAGACAAAAAAACCCCAAAACAATTAATATCAACCAAAATCAAAATGGGAAGGTCAGGCTTTTTAAAGATCGGTAACCAGGGATTGACCAGAAAACTGCAACCGGTGCAGCCCTACACATATATTGATGACATTCTTTGATTTAATTAATTTCTCTTAAGTGTTAGTCCAATAGCTAAAAATGTAATTTATACCAGGTGAGTCTTTATCCCCTGAGAATGTGGGCCGGTACCGGAACTGGACTGATTCTGTGCCTTCAAATGACTTTAACAGAAGCTTCACATAACTTAGAAGTTGATGTAAAAAATTATTTTACTCAGCAGCAAACAACATATCTACAGCATAGAGCAGTTCATCGATGAAGCAGTTATATAGTCTGATGGAAAACATTTTGCTTGACAATGTCAAACATTGAGAAGTTTTAATTATTGTTATGAAATACGACATTTTGAAGCCAAAATACCTCAGAAATATACAGAGCCAACCATGAGAATCAACTCATTTAAAGTTTAAACTCAGTTTCACACAAACACAAAGACCCGATCATAAATGTTTGGCTGTTGGACTGGACCAATCCTGGTCGCTATCAAGCTAATTTTCTATTAGCAGCTTAACAAATCATTTACATTACATTACCAGGGCACATTAAAACAAACCTTTATCTTGGCTTCTTTATAACCCTTTATTCATGAGTGTGTTACAATTCAACCATTTCTAGGGGCCTTTGAATATCTGACATATTTAATGTAATATGATTTCATGTGGCTTATTGTAAAGAATCCTACAACAAGGCTACAGACAGTAAAACAAATAAGAGGTTTTAATACACTCTATGTTTAAGTCACATTCATGCAGCAGCCCACTGCAGGTCAAGGACTAACACAACATGTTCAAGATTATTGTATTACAGCAGTAGGACCAAGTCAGTGTTTTGAAAATCTCAAGTCTTTATCCTTACATCCTGAGTCAAGTCTCAAGTATGAAACTTTGAATTTCAAGTCTTTCAAATTTTTTTAAAAACAATGTTGCAATTATATGTAAAATATAAATAATTGATTATGTGTTCTTTTTAAAATCTGTATTTTTGTCAAATCTTGATAAAATGGGCAGATGAACACAGAGTTTAAAAATCACCATTTTAAAATGACCAATTTCACATCTTGGTATTGATAAAGACATGTTGCATGAATAAAGTTTGTCAGAATCACTAACCAAGTTGCAGTTCACCCATTTTGCTCTCTGTGCACCACCCAGGTCTGTTTACCAGTTTCACTGTCATTACCTTGAGAAATAATGAACGTTGGTTAAATATAAAACAGGGTTTAGTGCAGAAAATCATCAAATGTTTCCAGGTCACCCAAATGGATCAGATACAGAGCAGATTCACCGTCCAGCTGAGCTCCACTCAGCTCATCTTAGGGGAGACACCAAGTGAAGATTGTAGAGCGAGTTCTGCTTTATTTTCTCCTCATTCTGCTTCCTCTCCAATGTGTTTCCTGCCTTCATCAGTTTTTCTTGTGACTGTCGTCAGTCTTAAATGTTGTGGTTATGTCAGCCTGTAGTTGTGTACGAGAGCAGATAAAACAGAGAAAAGACAAAGAGTCCCTTTGTCCATAACAGAGTGTTCCTTATGAGTTTATTGTAGCATTTCTTGTCTATAAAAATCACAAGATTCATAGTTTCTTTTACAAAGGACATATTAGTTACATTAGTCTTTTTGTTTTTCACAATATAGAATCAGGGCTTTTTTCTATTTTTTTTAATTAATGTTTGTCCTTAACTTAAACTTTGTTAGCATATTAGCTCCACTTGACACCAAACTAACTTTTAGCCACATAAAACAGATGTTTTTTTTTATTAGCAGATGAATATATAATCACGTCTCTAATTAGTCAAATCTCAGACTGTTACTCGTCGGTTCGTCTTGTTACTCCAGGCCACTGCTCCTCATCCCTTCTCCCTGGTTTCCTCTTGGTCTCTTCATGTCTCTGGTTTGGGTTTATTTTTGTTCCTTGCTCTTTGTTTTTTGCAAGTTTGATTTTTAATTAAATCTACAACAGAACTTTTATGTCTCCTGTCTGCTGCAGTTGGAATGCAAGGAAGAATTACATTATTATCAGATGGACCAAAATGTCTTGCTAAGTAGAAATTTTGGTATTTTAAGGACAGATAATTAGAATAATTAATATAAATAACATAATTTAAAAATAACAAAATCAGACAAAATAAAAAAATAAAAAAATACAGATCAGTTTCTTCCAAAATAAGACTTTCAAAATACTGTGTGCGTGTTTCTCTGTGTCTGGCGAAAGTATGGTATGGTTGAGGTATGGCTCAACACATTTCTTCATATAGCCACATGATGGCGCCAAATACCTCTTATGATAATTTGAGCCAAAGGCTGTTTGTGCTCATAGTGTTTCACTGAGGTCAATTACATCAAATGATGTAATCTTATGTAAACTTAGTTATTTGATTAATATTGTGGATTTGTATAAAACAACGCTGTTTTTCCCCCTGCCATTTTGAAGGACTTCGACTCAGCGGGAATTTTAATGTTTTTGATTGTTTATTTAATGTTACATTACTCTGTGTTTTTGTGTTTAATGATGTGAAGCACTTTGAAATGCTTTCCTGCTGAAATGTGCTGTACAAATAAAATGTGATTGATTGACTGATGGACAGTTGAGTTTTTTCTTATTAGATATCTTTGATTTTTATTAGTTGGGACCCCTATTGCTGTAATATATTTAGCTGAATGGCAATTTATTTGTTATTACATACTGCTAGAAACACTGAGTGTCAAGGCAAAAATAAAGCAGTTCACATCACCAGTTAAAGTGGAAGTCTCATGTCCTCCTTCCTGTATCCTGACCGATACACCATCTTGTTTGCTGCTAATACCCAAGAACTTAAACTAAAAACTTAATTGCTGTTGTATACAAAGAAAGCAATGGCACTTGACTTGATGTAATGTTTTGATTGTTGAGTCTATGTTACATGACTTTGTGTTTTTGTGTTTGATATGATGTAAAGCACTTTGTAATGCCTTGCTGCTGTAATGTCCTAATCAAATAATATTTGGTTTGATTGGATTTGATTGGATTTGATTGGATTTGATTTGATTTACCATGGGATAAATGCATAACATATCCCCTATGTTGTTTCTTGAGAGACAGATCATATTTGCTTTATCTCTAAATAAACTGGACTGGTTCCAAACCATTAGCAGTATTAATAGTTTAATCTTTTGTGACAAACTCCACAAACGTGCCGAGCCCTTTGTATTCAAACATGTTCAGCCTGTAGCTGTGTACGTGTGCACAGATAAAACAGAGAAAAGACAAAGAGTCCTTTTGTCCATAACAGAATGTTCCTTTTGAATTTCTTGTATTTCTTGTGTATAAAATCATAAGTTTCATAGTTTCTTTTACAAAGCACATTTTAGTTACATCAATTGTTTTGTTTGTCACAATGTGGCATCAGGGCTTTTTTTCTATTATTGTATTGATGTTTTGTCCTTAACTTGAACTTTGTTAGTGTAACCTGGGGTAGGAAAAAACTGCCCTTAGTCCCGCCTTGCTGCCCCATTGGTTAGAGTGACAGTCAGTCACACAGTGCATTCAACCAATTGACACACCTGAGGTAATTATTTAGGCTTGCTCCAGCTTTCCCCAGTCAGGTGTGAGGGGGAGAGCTGGAGACAAAGGAGCTGCAGGTTGGTGTTTTCAGTCAGTTCATCCCTTTGCTTGTTATGCACTTTTTAACCTTTTAATATAAAAATCATGTAGATCTGAGAATCCGGTGAGTTTGGAGACATGAAGCTGTCATGCACCCAACTATTGATAGAATTGGTGAGTAGTGAACACAATGTTGTTTTGTTTGTTTTAGCATGTTGGTGGTAGCCAATGCTAATTGTGATCATTAACTGTTGTATGATCTAACTTCTTAAGTTCTACATGTTTAAGATAATGAGATGAATGTTTATCTTTATTTGGTCTGAAAGATTAGATTTATTGCATTTATTTCTGTATGTAACTGAAAAAAGTCTAGTTAACTAGCAGGCTGAAAATTTACTGGTCCTGTTTATTTTAATACAGGCCAGGGGATCCCTTTGTAGGATTAAAGGATGGCGAGCTTCTGAAAACTGGCTGGGGCCAGGAGAACCTAACAATCACTCCATACTGGTCTGGTAGGAGGTTGACGGTCTGTATCATTTCCCCCTCCATCTCACCATTCAGGCACACAATCCATTACTCATCTCTTCATCCGAAACATCTTGCGCTGGGACATTGTCATCTTAAATATCTGGATAATCCAATCATGGACTTCTGAATGTGTGTCGGTCAGACATTGTGCTGACCAGCGGGGAAGTTTAGGACCAGTTGTGCACAAATGTATGAAGGATCTGCCTCAGTACTGTGTATATTTATTTTGGGTTTTATGTATTTGTCTTGTATTGTTCACTTTAATTTTCTCTTCAAGATACATGGTATTGAAAGCAGTTCTTTTGCATTGTTTTTATTGATTACTGACAACGGCCTTTTGCTAATAAAATGTGTCACTTTGACACTTAGTGCTGCTGTTCAGCCTCTTGTGTTCATAAATGTATCAAATCATTCAAGAAAACTCATGGGAGATGAAAGAGGTCTGTCTTTAATAAAAAGAATCACATATGTTAAAATTTTACCATTCTTTTCTTTTAAATGTGTTTTAAAAATCAGAATATTTTTCATTTAATTGGGTGAATTTCTGAGTTTTAATTTTTATTTGCATTTACAACAAATGCAAATGCTCTTCACCACCCAGCACTGTAAAATTGTTCTTTTCAAAATAAAAGCCAACCATTTTGTGTTTCTAAAGTTGATCATTTTCACAGCTCATCAATAAACAAAATGATTTTACTTTCTGGAGAAAAGGCAGATGTGAATTCTTGTCGATTGGAAACCAGGTTTTTCTTTTATAAAAAACAATTATTTTTAGTTTATTTTCTAGTTCAAATTTATCAGTTCACTTAAGGTAAAAATAACTTGCAAGTAACTTTGCAGCAAAATAGAGAAGTTGATTGTTTTGAGTCAATTCCTTAATATTGATGAAAAATGTCTTGTTTCATTGGCTGATTATTTAAGTTGTAATAGGGGGAAATGTTTGGTTATTAATGAAATCCGTCAATGGAACAAGAACTTTTTTTCAAAGTTTCTTTACAACGATGAGACGTTAAAGTTCCTCTGTATGCTGATGACGGTGCAGATCGCTGTCTGTCCTGTGATTGGACAGATCGCTGTCTGTCCTGTGATTGGTGGCTTTCTTTCCAGCAGGAAGTTGTGAACAGAGTTTAAAAGCTGCTGCAGGACTGCAGACATTCACACGAAGCTGGATCAGCAATGGCTCTGCTGAAGGTTCTGCTGCTGCTGCTGGGGCTGGGTGAGTCTGAAACACTGGAGACACTGGGGACACTGGAGACGCGTCCACTGGTTCCAGGGAGGCTGCTGCTCTCTGTGACTCTCAAACTTCCCTCTGATTCTGTTTCAGACTGAAACTTCTTTGCATATAAACTGTGATGCTTTTCAATCTTTAACTGTTTATCCTCTTTCTGTTCCTGCAGCCATGTTTGCACCTGGTTTCTGAGTAAAGTCCTCCTTTCTCTTCTTCAGGTGTTTCAGTGAACTCAGGTGTTTCTCGGCAGAAGAGAATCATTGGAGGTCGAAACTGTGATGACACAGAGCGTCTGTATCATGTTCGGCTGGAGAGCAGCAAGGATGAAGCAAAAATCCTCTGTGGAGGATCTCTGATCCACCCTGAGTGGATCCTGACTGCAGCTCACTGCTGGATCCGAGGATGGTAGGAAAGAGACATGAAGACAGTTTTATCTGCAGATGATCAGGTTTTCTGTATGTTCATTATAATCTAACCTTTTCTGCAGGAGTAAAGTAGCAACGTTAAAAGTTCATCCATGGACTGCTGGGCAGCAGATTCAGGTAATCCAAGACAAACCTGTGACTTGTACTCACGGCGGCCTCCAGCATGACATCATGTTGCTGAAGCTTCAGACACCAGTAACGGATGTCCCAGTTGCTCAGCTACCAGACTGCCTATATCGTCTTAAAGTGTAAGTCTTTCTCTGATTATAACATGACTTCAGGTTTTCTGTCTCCACTCCTCCAGTCCTGCTGCCTCTGCTTCAGCACACCTGAGTCAGGTAATCAGGCCACCAGCAGAACCAGAACCCGTTTAGCTCAGGTGTGTTGGACCAGAGACGCATGTAAAGGACGCAGGACACCGTCACTGAGGACTGGAGGTGGACACTCCTGTGTCAGTGGATGAAGTCCTTCATGGATTCATTTTATGTTCTGTCATTGTTCTTCATAATTATTTTTTTACATTATCTTGTATTTTTACATTTTATTCTTATTGTGTTTTAGAGGCGATGTTGTTCAGCTGGCAGGAGAGGGAGGAACGACAACCGGCCCCAATAATGAGCGATGTGAGAGAAATATTGAAGTTATGTTAATAAAATCTTTGTTTCTGTTACTACAGAGAAGGTCAAGTGAAGAACATGTTTATGATTCTCATGTTTCTCTGCAGTATCCCTCGGTGCTCCTATTCCAGTACATCTTCAGTGTGTCGACATGAATGTTGTTGAGGTTTCCCAAATCCATCCGACATATGGGCATGTATTCTATGCTGGAGCACCAAACAAGGATATATGCTATGCAAGTTTGTTTCTTCAATATCTCTCTGCAGCGATTAGAAGACTTTTCTGTTTTACAACATAAATACATACATTGATTTAAATTTTCCTACAGGGCGACGCTGGTGGAGCAGCTATGCACAACGGCAAGATTTATGGTGTGATTTCTTTTGGTCACTCAGATTTCGCATGTCAGAGACCACCTATGATCATGGATGTGTGTAGATACCTGGACTGGATAAGATACAGAACTGGGATTCAATAAAACATAAACTACCATGAAATAAAATGTTCTCATCAAATTTCCTCTCGCATATAATTTTTTAATTGTATTTTCATCAGTTTGATCCACATGTTTGTAGAATTAGAATAAATTAATTGGGTTTTTTTTTTTTCCTTCTCACCTGATCTTCACCTCCCTAATGGAGTTTTCTCTTCACCTGAGAAATGAAAAATAAATCAATAAATGCATGAAAAAGAAACATTTCCTGGCTGACTGTCTTTACATTCATGGTTCAGTTTCTTCAGTTGATATTTTCCCTGAAATGAGTCTAAAAACATGAGTTTTAAATCACATGAAGAGAAACACCAGAAGTTATTTATTCAGTTTTGTGTTAGAGATTTTTTGTGTTTTATTCATATTCAGTCTAATGCTAAACAATAGTTAAACATTTAGTCTAATGTTAATCGGTAATGACGTACTGTGCTAAAACTTTTTTGATTGCTGTGTAGAATCTGAAAACTGATTGTTCCCTCCAGATTCCGCTCTCAAGGGAAAGAGCTTGGTGACCTGTGTATTAGATAGAGCTTGCCATCTGTTTTATTTATCTTTTCTGACTTTTGTTTTCTCCCAAAAAAAAGGCCTGCTCTAGCAGAGAGAGGGCAGAACGCTCTGTGAATGACTCGGAGGAGCAGTTTGCGAGTCTTCTCCTTTTGCAAATGCTTAGCCATAAAATTCATATACGTTGTCTGTGGTTCTTTAATGAAGGTTCGAGAAAAATACCTGTCATTTCGTCTTTATTTTACATCAGAAATGAACATGAAGCATCTAAACTTTACAGCTCTGGAGTTACTATTCCTGATTTAGTTCTTGAGAACTTTAACCAGCATAATTGTTTCCATTTTTGTTAGATTCACTTTTATTTAAAGATTTATTTTAAAATAAAATCCTCTTTTCCTTAATTTCTTTAACACAAAAATAAACCAAGCACTGTCAATTACCGCATGGTTTTAGGGTCACATGACCAGCTGTACGTCAGCCAGCCATGTTGCTTACATGGCTGCTACTCACCAGCCTAGGAGATGCTGTCTAACGCTGCTGCAGGTAGTAGTGATGGGCAAATGAAGATCCATGAAGCTGCTTTGCAAAAAGGTTCATTACTCAATGCTTCATTCATTGCTCACTAGTGACATCTTCTGGTGAAACTGTAACAGCCTTGTCACTCAGTTGGATACTTCCAACAACTACTAAATATTGTCGCAAAGTTTTAATCAAACTCATGTTCAGTAACAGGAGAATCAATGAAACCATATTTAATTGTCATATGTTTTAATTAAAATGATTTGTAGCCAATCTAATTCTGGTATATGTTGAAAGTCCGTGGTTTTGTTGGGTTTTCTTTTGTGTCATAGACGGATTTGACAGTAAAAACATTTGATGTTTTATTATCTTGGGAGTGCAGTGCCTGTTGGGGCATTTGCTTTTTCTTGGATTTGTAATTGGCTCTGATCCCTTATATTTAGCTACCTGTTGAATTTTAGTCTTTCAACTGCATTAAATCTGTTTCTGCTGTGCAAGACTGATATATCTTTGCTGATCAGACTACAAATAGTGGAAATTTCCAGAAGGTGAGAAATTGGGAGGCGGAGGGGTAAATTATATTTTATTTAAGAAGAATTTTATTGTCACTGATCAGCTCAAAGTATTCTGAGATGTCAGAGATTTTTGTCTTGCCATTTCAGACAATAAAGTTTAATTATGTGGCACATTTCAGGAACAATGCAGTTCAAAGAGATTTACATCATAAAATCATAATTGACAATTCAGAAAACCAGTAACAAACATTACATTTTGATGAGTGCCATTAGTAATAAACATTAAATATGTTGGTCAGTGTTCCTTTTATTTCAGATATTGTTTAAGACAAATATTCTCCTCTGATGCTGACCTACAATAACCCATGATGCAGCACGGCTCATCTCGCTTTTATTTTGAAAACCGACACACAAAATGAAGCAGTCACAACCCAGGTGATGCGAGGCATCGTTTGTTCCCAGTCACGTGGTTTTCAGCAAGCCAACACAAGCCTCAAAGCGGGGCTTCATCGTACAGGCCCCCTTTTCACTTGTACACGCCTCGAAGCCTACTGATTATTCATCACTTGTGCAGAACCTTTTCACCTCTTCTAGTGTCCAGCCCATTTGTGTAGTTTGAAAACAAGAAGCTACTCTGAAATCTCTTTCTGTTTTGTTTTATTATACAAAATGGAGTTGGAAGACCACAAGTGCAGTGTGTGTGACAGGACTTCCTCTGTAAAGTCCAACGTCACTCAGCACCTGCAGCTTCAAGGTCTAATGGTGTGTGTGTGTGTGTGTGAGGTGTGCAAGTAGAGCTTGTCTCAGCAGCTCAGCAGCCACTGGGCTACAGGAAGTGGAAGACTCGGCTTCGTTCCTTCTCCAGCTGGCCAACAAAGCCGACCGTCACCTGGTGCCGGCCAATCTGAGGCCGAAGGTCGCCTCTGGGGTCAGCGCTCTGCATGAGCACAACAGGTAGGCTCCTGACACTGTAAAGCGATACGAGCCTCAGTGGGGCTACACCGTGTTTGGCCAACGCCTGGGAGGCGACACACCTGAGACCAGAGCGACCCAAAAGACAAAGTTCTCCTGGATGAGGTAAACTCAGGCAGGACGGGTCACCAAGGACAGCCGTCTGTTGTACCTCATCAAGATGCTTAAAAAACGTCCACCTGCCAGAATAATATCAGGGATTCATTAGAGATTCATCAGTCCAGGTGCAGATATTTTATAGGTCAACCAATAAAAAGCCAATTTTGTAACTTTTTGCTTGTTTTTTTTTTTTTTTTACCTAATAATTAATATTTTGTTCACATTTTATGTGACTTTTGTTTGTTTCATTGTTATTTATGTTACTGTCATGTGTAATGAAGCCCTAGGCGAAAATTCAACCTGTAAGACTCTTCTGGCATCACCTATCACCGCGCCTTCACCCCAGCCAATCAGGACGCACCACCTCTCCACCTCGATCCAATCAACTGGCAAGAGCTCCTTAAAAAGGCAAAGCAACCACAGATCCACCCGCTTCAGCTGTGTTTCAACCCACCTCCTCCCCGTTTCCACCACCAGCCTCCCAGACGCCTCCAGGTCCCCTCAAACCTCCTCTCTCCAAGCTCCGCTCCACCACCAGTGACTGGCCCCGGGGGAAGACCTACCTGAGCTTCGTTCGAGCCGATCATTCAAGCTCGCTGCGATTCTCAGCACGCACGTCTTCCGCCGGTGTCCGAGCGCCAAATTCTCGGTCCAATAAAATCATCTAACTGCTGCTTCTCTCTCTGTGTGAGTCTCTACAGCTTGAATGTTATTTAAGTGTGGTTGAACAAATAAAAGGTTTCATAAATATGAATCCTCTGTTTAATTCAATCTATATTTAGGTCATTTTGTCTTGGTTCCATAGCAAATCGGTCCATCATAATCAGAATCTCATTGTGTCCATCTTTACTTCATCTACATGTGACACATATACGAAGTTCTTACCAGTGACGAGAAACAACAGGTGAAAGTTTTTAGCCAGAAAACACAACCTACAGGTGAAATAAGTACCAGTTTAACACATTTCATCATTAAGTCACACTGTAAACAAGGAAGAAGGAAAAAGGAAAATCCTGCATAAATCAGCCTTAATTATTACAAAATAAACATTAAATTAACTTACAATTAAAGACTAAAACAATACTCTCTTGATCTCAGAAGTGTTTAACAATTTCTTTTTTCTTATACTGTTTGGATATAATGTTACCACTGTTATGAACAAAGAACAGTTTCATCATATAACATAAAAAACTGTTTCTTAAAAAAATCATTTAAATTGAAAAGATGGTTTCTGAAAATGTTTCAAAGTTCATCAATTGACTCATGAAACAGGTAAAACAGATTTGTTACATTTAAATGTACTTGGCTTGACTTTATTTTTAACAAAAACAGTACATTTTGTGCATTAAAGTAATGGACAACATATTTAGTATTTGTTCTTATTTCACAGAATATTCCAAACAAAGGTTTTTAGTCTTGAGAAGCAAAAAAGAGTGCAGTAGGGGGTCAACTAGGTTTGTAACACCTTCAAAATGTCCTTTTTAATTTTATTTATTTCAGTACAGATACCTGAAAAGTATAATTAAGTACAGTAATACTTTTTTTTTTTACTTCAAAGCTCTGCATTTATACCTGGCGCATTTTGATTCAATGTTACATTTTCACAAGATACATTTTTTGCTAATTTTGTTGTTTCAAAAAATAAATACTGAGAATAAGCAAGGTACTGGACACAGAATTTCTCATCTTGCGTGTTTATTCAGGAAGATTTTTGTTTAGCATGCAACAACAAGGAAATATTGGGGATGTTGTCAATTATGGCATTTTGCTACATCTAAACTTCCAAAATTCATAGGAAGTCAGCTCAAAGAAAAAGCAGATTTATTAAATGAATTATGGATAGAAATTAAAACTTGCCAGCAATAAGTTAGAAAACAACAGCGGCATCAAAAGGAGCAGGGCGGGACTGACTCTACTGACGCTGTTGCAGTAGTCGCCCTGGCAGCACTTCATCATTTTTTCGTAGGTACTATCCCCCTTTGAAGGTGGGGGGTCTGGGCACATCTGCTTGGAGGTACATCCCAGCGTCACATTATCTTTTCCTACATTCATTGAGAAAATGAAGATAAAGTTACCATATGAGTAGCAGGTTTGGATCTGGTCTTCTGAGGATAAATATGAAGCATGCAACACTATTGGGCTCTTGCCTGAAAATGTGAAACAGTAGTTTTCATCCCCTTCACAGTTAAGAGTTTTCCTGCAGTTTTCTCCCTCACACGTGTAACACTTCTTTCCATTTGCAGTGGACATGTAATCTAAGAGGCAGAGATAGTTGTTCTATTGAAAATCAATGCAGAATTATATATTTTTGTTTTTGTCAATAATTTATTTCTCCTAAAATATCTGGAAAAAAAAGAATTGAAACTGCATGAAAAGTTTGAAATAAAAATAAAAAAAGATTTGAAGCAAAAAAATTGAAACAAAAAAAAGGTCAAAACTACTTTTCAGATTAAAGACTTTTTCAGTTTCAGATTATTCTTTATTTTTCAGATTCAAACTTTTGGTCCCGTTTTAGGATGGGATGTGGAATCATGACTGATAGCTCATCATGACACGTGGTTGTCATGGTGGCCTGACCGGCCAGACCACAGGCCAAATCTGCCCTCTACATTCAAATTATGGTTATATGTCCGAGAGGTGAGAAGAAGTACTTTCATTTAGATCTAAAAGACTATATATAGTCTGAAGAGTGAGGCCACTGTTAGGTTTTCTGCTGTCCTATAACGCTTCTGTATTTCATTTGAAACCGATGCGATCCACCTTGTTTAATAGTTTACAGGTTTCCATATTTATTAGTATCACATTCTGATTATTGTTATTATTGTGAATGTCTTTTCTGAAAACCTACTGTATTAAAATTGATACTGTAACATATTTTGTTTTAAGGAGGGGTTTATTCGTGTCTTCTATAGTAGAATAAATATTATCCTTTTTAAAAATCAAATTCTGTCTTGGTAGTCTTTAATGTTAATACTGTAAAATCAATAAATTCTTTACAAAGTGTTTTAAGTGGTTGTCATCAATTTCCCAATTTTTTGCAAGACTGAATTAATCTCCATAGAAATACGATTGTTTAACAAGAAAACCTTGAATTCCAATGAAAATTGTCGCCATATTAGCATTTTCACAGACCTATTTTGTATATATATATATATATATATATATATATATATATATATATATATATATATATATATATATATATACACACACACTGCAAATGTTCGCTGAAAGTCCAAGGGTTTAATGGCGTTTAATTTCAATGTTTGGTGAACGTTGCCAGCGATCGTTCAGAGGATGGCTTAAAATGTTCTACATTTTAAATGTTCTACATTTTAAGAAGCAAAAAGTTTGTGAGTACTGTAAATTCAAGTTGTGCAAAGTATTGACAAATATAATAAGGGAATTAATTACCAGGTATTCGAGTGTTGCATAGGTTTTCTTTGCAGCAAGTGACATTTCTCACTTCTCTGTAATTTCCGTAGTGGATGGAGGTTTCAACACACCATGGAGACGACATGCAGTGTTTGAGGTTCCAAACAGAAAAGACTCTGCCATCTACAGTCAAATAAAACAAATTTTAAAGTGAGGCAGTGCCAAACTCATAAGCAATTACAGGAAACCAGACGAAGACGTACCTTTAATTTCGACTTGTGTTGATGATACACAAACAGTTTCATATGGGTGGCATGAAACTGTACTCTCGTTGCAATTTTTATTGGGATTCGACAAACATTCATAACATTGCAGGTTGTTAACTAATTAAAACAAAGAGAGAATGCACTTTTAAAGTATGAAAATGAAATAACAAAATCCTATTCTTAAGACAACAAAAAATGGCGGAGTCACATCAGCACTATCAGTGCGGGAAAAAAAATTAGATTATTAATGTAGTTTTTTAATGAAAGAAAAAATAAGTTTAATGAAATCACACTAAATTTAACGTTACAATAATATTAACCGTAATCAAAAACTTGCCTTCCGGTAGAAACAGCACTCCAAGCACCAAAGCGAAGAGGAACATTTTGCTGGTGAATTATAAGTGACTTATAATTGTCTCCGTTGACAAAATAGATTGAAAGTTGTTCTGTTTTTACCAGGGATGGGCTTTACTCTCAGCTTTACACCTCCTCTAGCCAAGCCGATTCTAATGTTTGTTTTCTCTCCCTCTAACGGTTGCGCTGCACACGCGTTGCCATAGAAACTGACAACACCCTTTCGCGACAATTCAAAATGCGCAAACATTACAAAGAGCAGAACATTAAGTCCTTTACAGAATTCTGTTTTTAGGCTTGACGTGTATTTTGTGATTATTAAAAGACAGCTGTGGTAGATTAGCTACGCTGCTATTAGCTAATCTAACAGCGGTGGTTAATTAGATAATTTAAACACCTGCTCTAATGATGATCTGTCAGAATTGTGTCTGTAGGTCGCCTTTTTTATTTTTTAATTGAACCGAAACACAATGAATTCCACATCACATCATGCTAGGGTTGTCAAAGTAAAGTAAGCATAGCCTACTTGTCCTCCCTTTTTTTCTTTTTGTTTTGACGTGGTCGTTCACTCTTATCCAACATGTATGCGACTTTAATGCGATCTCCAGTGTGAACTGTGTTGAGAAAAAAATGATTGTTTTTAGTGTTTAATACAGTTAATCTTACGGCATGTGTAAAAGGTATATTGAGCATTGCCATTTTGAACAAATTTCTTAATTTTGAACAGGTTTGTGTTAATGATTTAAAAACTAAACTATTGATGGGTAAGTATTCAAAGTACAAGAAGGAAAATACAGATCAAAAGGGAACTCTCACTGAGGCTCCTGTTGTGTTATCAGAGAGGACAGGAGGCCATAAAATTAGCATCTCCGGCAGTATCACTTGAGCCTGGGAGAGAGAAGTTTGCTCGGTTCACGGAAGATCAAAAGTCTTCTAATATCTGGGACGGTGAAAACTGAATACAACATAGAATGTTAAAACCACTAACATTTAATTTCTAAGACATTTTTCTTAGTTACTAATAGCATGTTTTTTAATGAAAATTGTATTATCTAATTTTAAAATTACTAATCTAGTAAATGATGAATGTATTTGAAAATTTTATCTGTGACAATATCGGAATCAAATGGAAATTGTTTGAATGAAAATGTTTTGTTTAGTATTAGAAAATTGCTCAGGATTTATGCTAAATGGGGTTTTGGAAAATGATTGTGTTAACTTGTATACTTAGGATTGAATATTATGTTTCATAGGTTAGAAAAAGGAATTGTACCTCATTTTGTTCTGTTGATTTTATGTGTTATTTTTGGTTTAAGGCAAGACTCAATCTTTTGGGGTGCTGAGTGCAGAAGAGCAAAACTGGGTTTGTCAAGATAACCTTTCCCTGAACCAAATTACTGAATTTAAGTTTGTTCCTGGAGAGATAGCGGGAGAGACTCCAGATTTCACAGCTATCTGTGAAATACTTTTCTTATGTTTTTCTTTGCCCAGATGGCCTTAGAACCGCAGGAGGCCAGGACAAGCTCTCCGCTCTTTTTGTTAAACAAAAGGGCAAATGGCCTTTGATCTTTGCTGTAAATTAGGGGAAGTTCTAAGTCTTTCTGAGTGTCCAAGATAGCTTCTGTCAAGCAGAGGTACGCCTTATTTGAATATATTAAAGAGGAAAAACACGCCTACATTATAAAAGTTCGTGCCCAGGAGTAATAATTCAGATAGCTGCCGCTTTTTGCCTTTTTGCACCAGCTCTCTCCAAAGACGCGTCTTTGCCTTTCTTTTTCCTATCTTTTTTGTCTCAGGTAATGAATGTATGTCTCTGTTGTTCTGTAGTTGTGTTGTTAATTCATACGTTGTTTCTTATTGGATTAAACTCTGTAATTCTGTGACGTCAACACGCATTGTTGTTTTCCTTGTGGCTACACGTGGCTCGCCGAGAGGACCTGGGATCCAAGAGGAAGAGAGAGCCAAACTTTTTCCAAAGTTTGGCTCTCTTCCAAAGGAAGAGATATTTTAGATATCTCTTCCTTATCAATTGCAAACCAATGTTTCCCAACCCTGGTCCTCAAGGCACACTAACCTGCACGTTTTAGATGTTTCCCTGCTTCAACGCGACCTTTTCAGATGATTGCAATTCAGCAACGGCCTTAATCAGCGATCAACTGAAATCATATGTGCCTAAATCAAATGCCTAAATCGTGCAGGCAGTCAGTATAACTTGTGGACCAGGATTGAGAAATGTTTTTTGAATCCTGAAACACTTGCAGTGGCGTTGTTGTTGTCAGTTGTAATGGCAACGGGTCTGTAGAGCATTTTAAGCGACCAATGTAGAAGTGGCCTAAAAGGTAGACGACAGATAGTTTCGTGATTCTATGGAGCTAAATTGGGGTAATAAAAAAAGTTTGAAACTGAAAAAAAGATTAGAAAAAATGTTCAAAATTACTTTTTGGATTTATTTATTTATTTATTTTTTTAGATTTTTTTCAGGCTTCAAACGTTTTTTTTCAGATTTAAGCAGCGTGATTGACATTCCTGTCCTGGAGAACTGTTAGTCATGATCCCAGATCCCTTTTATCTACATCGCAACCCAAAACAGGGCAAAAGTTTGAATCTGAACTTCAATCAGAGTAGTTCTGAATTTCTCTTTTTGTTTCAATACTTTTTTAGTTTCAAAGATTTTTTTATTTCAGAATTTTTTTTAATTCAGTTTCAGCATTTTTACAGATATTTTAGGTGAAACATGTTGACAAAAAATAAAAGCTTTGAACAAAAAAAAAATGCTATAATTTTAAATTTCTTTTCAATGGAATAACTATCTTTGTATCTTTGAGTACAAGTTCACTCCAAATGGCAAAAAGAGTTTCACGTGTGAGGGAGAAAACTGCATGAAAACTCTTAACTGTGAAGGAAATGAAAGCTACTGCGTCACACAGCAACAAGAGCACAATATGGTTTTGTGTGCTTCATATTTATCCTCAGAAGAATGTTAAGACCAGATCCAAACATGCTACCCACATGGTAAGTTTATTTTCATTTCATCAGTGAATGTGGAAGGAAAAAATGTGACGCTGAAGGGATGTGCCTCCAAGTTGACAAAATACACATCAAGCCTAAAAACAAAATACTCATGGAACGGACTTAATGTTCTGCTCTTTGCGCATTTTGAATTATTGTTGTCAGTTTCTATGGCAACATGTCAGAGAGAGAGAAAACAAACAAACATTAGAATCGGCTTAGAGGAGGTGTAAAGCTGAGAGTAAAGCCCATCCCTGGTAAAAACAGAACAACTTTCAATCTATTTTTTCAACGGAGACAATTATAAGTCACTTATAATTCACCAGCAAAATGTTCCTCTTCGCTTTGGTGCTTGGAGTGCTGTTTCTACCGGAAGGCAAGTTTTTCATTGCGGTTAATATTATTGTAATTATTGTAATGTAATCGCCTTCCTATGGAGATTAATTCAGTCTTGTAAAAAAATTGGGAAATTATTGACAACCACTTAAAACACTTTACAGTATTAACATTAAAGACTACCAAGATAAAATATGATTTTTAAAAAGGATAATATTTATTCTACTATAGAAGACACGAATAAACCCCTCCTTAAAACAAAATATGTTACAGTGTCAATTTTAATACAGTAGGTTTTCAGAAAAGACATTCACAATAATAATAATAATCAGAATGTGATACTAATAAGTATGTTAACCTGTAACCTATTGAACAAGGTGGATCGCATCGGTTTCAAATAAAGTGGGGCCAAAAGTTTGAATCTGAAAAATAAAGAATAATCTGAAACTGAAAAAGTCTTTAATCTGAAAAGTAGTTTTGACCTTCTTTTTGTTTCAATTTTTTTTGCTTCAAATCTTTTTTTTTTATTTCAAACTTTTCATGCAGTTTAATTTTTTTTTCAGATATTTTAGGAGGAATCAACAATCAAATTTTATTTGTATAGCACATTCCAGCAGCAAGGCATTTCAAGGTGCTTTACATAATTGAAGAAATAAAAAGAGTATGTGACATTAATAAACAGTTGAAAAGTAAAGATGAAAACATTGTTTTCATGACAACTGTCATAAACATTCATAAAGACTTCTTTATGTTCATGACAGATGTTATGTTTATGACAATGTCATGTCAGTCTTATGCACACCCCTTCAAATAAAGTGTGACCAATATTTTAAATGTAGCTTGATTTGAGCATTTTGCTAACAAAATGTGTCACTTTGACCCTAATTGCTGCTGTTCAGCCTCTTGTGTTCACAAATGCATCAAATCACTCAATAAAAACTGTAAAAGCAAAGAATCATGGGTGATGAAAGAGGCCTGTGTCTTAAAAAAAAGATTCACTTCAGTTAAAATTTTACCAGATGTTTCTTTTAAATGTGTTTTAAACATCAAAATGGTTTTTCACATAATTGTGTGAATTTCTGTGAGTTTAAATTTTTGTTGTAATTTTACATTTACAGCAAATGCAAATGCTCTTCAACACCCACCACTGTAACATTGTTCTTTTTCAAAATAAAAGAAACAAACCATTTTCTTTTTAGACAGAGCGTAATTTTCACAGCTCGATAATAAACAAAATGATTTAACTTTCGGGAGTAGTTTGTAGATTAGAGACCAAACAGCTTTTTCTTAAAAAATATTAATAATAATAATCATCATCATCAACCTGGAAACAATGACGAGTCGCTCCTTCTTCAGAGAATCAGTTTTATTTTATCAAGTTTGAAACCAAGTTTTCCTTTGAGCAAAACTAACTGCAAGCTTGTGCACTACAAAATCAGAAAATTTACCAGTTATCTTTTGTCTATTTTATAGTGCAAATCTCTGTTCACTTGAGATAAAGCAAAACTAATTTAAATGTAATTTTGAAGCAAAATATAGGAGCTGCTTGTTTTGAGTCAGTTCCTTAATATTGATGAAAAAGTTCTTGTTTCATTGGCTGATTATTTACGTTATTAAAGGGGAAAATGTTTTGTTAATAGTGAAATAATCTGTCAATGAAACAATAATTTTTTTCAAGTTTCTTTAGAACAATGAGATGTTAAAGTTCCTCTGTACAGATGACAGCGCAGATCAGTATCTGTCCTGTGATTGGACAGATCAGTATCTGTCCTGTGATTGGACAGATCAGTATCTGTCCTGTGATTGGACAGATCGGTGTCTGTCCTGTGATTGGTGGCTTTCTTTCCAGCAGGAAGTTGTGAACAGAGTTTAAAAGCTGCTGCAGGACTGCAGATATTCACAGGAAGCTGGACCAGCAATGGCTCTGCTGAAGGTTCTGCTGCTGCTGCTGGGGCTGGGTGAGTCGGAAACACTGGAGACACTGGGGACACTGGAGACGCGTCCACTGGTTCCAGGGAGGCTGCTGCTCTCTGTGACTCTCAAACTTCCCTCTGATTCTGTTTCAGACTGAAACTTCTTTGCATATAAACTGTGATGCTTTTCAATCTTTAACTGTTTATCCTCTTTCTGTTCCTGCAGCCATGTTTGCACCTGATTTCTGAGTAAAGTCCTCCTTTTTCTTCTTCAGGTGTTTCAGTGAACTCAGGTGTTTCTCTGCAGAAGAGAATCATTGGAGGTCAAAACTGTGATGACAGGGAGCGTCTTCATCATGTTCGGCTGGAGAGCAGCAAGGATGAAGCAAAAATCCTCTGTGGAGGATCTCTGATCCACCCTGAGTGGATCCTGACTGCAACTCACTGCTGGCAGCCAGGATGGTAGGAAAGAGACATGAAGACAGTTTTATCTGCAGATGATCAGGTTTTCTGTCTGTTCATTATATTATAACCTTTTCTGCAGGACTAACACAGCAATATTAAAAGTTCATCCACGGACTATTATACGTTACCGTCAAGTAGTCCGACAAGCTCCTGAGATTTACGGCAAGTGGCATGATATTGCGTTGCTGAAGCTTGAGACACCAATAAGAGATGTCCCACTTGGTCAGCTATCAAGTTGCAGCCGTCGTCTTAAAGTGTAAGTCTTTCTCTGATCAAAACATGACTTCAGGTTTTCCCTCTCCACTCCTCCAGTCCTGCTGCCTCTGCTTCAGCACACCTGAGTCAGGTAATCAGGCCACCAGCAGAACCAGAACCTGTTTAGCTCAGGTGTGTTGGACCAGAGACGCATGTAAAGGACGCAGGACACCATCACTGAGGACTGGAGGTGGACACTCCTGTGTCAGTGGATGAAGTCCTTCATGGATTCATTTTATGTTCTTTCATTATTCATAACAATTAATTTTCTACATTGTTATCTTGTATTTTTACATTTTATTCTTATTGTGTTTTAGAGGCGATGTTGTTCAGCTGGCAGGAGAGGGAGCAACGACAACCGGCCCCAATAATCAACGATGTGAGAGAAATATTAAAGTTATGAGAATAAAATCTTTGTTTCTGTCTTTACAGAGAAGGTCGAGTGAAGAACATGTTTATGATTCTCATGTTTCTCTACAGTGAGGAATGCTCCTATTCCATCACATCTTCAGTGTGTCGACATGAAAGTGCTTCAGGTT